CACAGGAAGTGTGTGTACAAAATTTCATAGTTTTATGCCCTGTTTTATATTGCCAATAGGCCGCTTGAATAATATTAAACGAATCAATATCAGCAGTGTAATTCTATTGATTATATTTTATCGAGCAATAATATATTTTAGACGAGCGAAGCTGACTAAATTAGGCAAAGAAGAACAATTCGGATGTATCTACAAAAGAAAGGTGTATGTGGCTGGCTGTATGGAGTGTGCGAGTGAATTACGTGAAACAGCACATCTAGCTGCACTCATATCTACATCTTCGGAATATAGTGAAAAGTTTTTCTCAAATATCTGAGGTGTATCCCAGGTTCCAAAAAACGATATGTCACTTATCACAATTTTGACTAATAAGCTATGATCAGGGAAGGATTCCTGCATCGATATAATAGAAAAAATCTCAAAAATCCATCGAGGACCGAAAAACAGCCTTATGCGCCCTCATAAGAATGGCTGTGGGTGTACGTACGGATGTTGTTGAAGAGATGAATAGCAATCACACATCAATCCCACGATATGGCTTAACTAGAGACAATGGGTGATGGAATTTAGCTTCATTTATGTGTTGACTCTGTTCTATTGTTCTTTGAAGTTGAAAAAAATCCATTGATGTCAGTCAATAAGGCGCGTCATTCTTTGATTACTTATCACACTTCTTCAGAAATGAAAGCAAGCACCTAATTATTGCTTGTGCAAGCAAATCATCTCGTCTACAAAAAGAAAGCTTGTTAGCGTAGCCCCTTTGGGACTAAAATGTGGAACTCACGTATGTTCTTTAGCCAAAAGTAAAGATTTGTCTTATTTATTTCTGTATTTTGAACACAAATTTTTTCTTTTTTACCGACGCCCTATATTTTTGTTTGTATCGTTGCTATTCTCTCGTTATATTTCATTTTCGTAGTTTGTTTTTTTAGTTTAGCATTATTATCATTATAACTATTGAATTAAATGGCAAATAAGCTTGTTGTAAATATCCATTATATCTACAACAGGAGATCTAAACACACTATTATATATCTCGATCAACTCACAAAAACTTATATTAATTAAGGTGTAGATATGTGTTAGAGAAGAAAATGTTCAGAACCACCCCGATCTCCACACCCCAATATATAAAAAATTTCTGTTCGAAATGCAGAAATTAGAGAAATTCTTACTTTGATGATTAATTATCTTGCAGGACAGCTACAGTCTACGAGATATTTTTCACTTTATTTATTTGTATTAGTTTAATGCAGCTAAAGAACATATGTGGGTTCTACATTTCAGCCCCAAATGGACTACGTTAACAAGCTTTTCATGTTGATCAAATGACAACAGTGACATGAAGGATATCCTGGCTACTAGTGTTTGTAATTGGTGGGAGAAGTGGGAAGATATCCTGGTTCTTAAGTTCTGTCATGAAGAGAGAGTGAGAGGAGTCACAAAACTTCGACTAAAAAAACTTCTACTCACTATTTTTCTCGAAAATATTTGTGAGTTTCACAAAATTAATCAAGAGAGAGTATGTACGCAAAACAATTTGTGTTTGATCTCTATCATGATTTATTCAATGCAAAGAGCATGATTCAACCATTACTACAAGATAATACGCAGATCAATCGTGTTCATTGTAATCTAGACTGAACAAATGTGCAGGTATCAGTGTCAAACTGAAAGAAAAGATAAATCACTATTTAATTCTGATGTGCATGATAATCAGATTGATTGGTACTAATGCAATTCCTTATTTTCTGATATATATTCTATACATAGAGAGTATATGAGCAAGCCTCCCAGAAAAAAACCCTAGACACACTAGTGTTCCTGGTCAGATTATTTCATCCTTAACAGTAGTTCATTCAGCCTATAAGCTACTCAAATGTGATGATCATTCATTCGAAGCCAAGTACTTGATATAGTGCTGCCATTTTTTAATTTTTATGAGTGGCTCCGAGTAATCGAATGAGGTTTTTCCTCTTTAGTATATTCTTCATTTAATAATCAAACCATCTGATAAAATTTACGATCAAGTCGAAATGACGATCATAGAAGTTATTCTTGCACTTTCTAACCATATTCCTTTGTAAAGCTAACTGAATTACATATTTTCCTTTAAAGTTGTGTCATATATAACTGACTTTTACATTGAACGTGGCCAAATTTTTGTTATTTCTAAAGCCACCGACACATTAGAAGACCCCCCCCCCCCCCCCCCCAGTGCAGTAAGCCCACCCGAACTGTTTGATGCGAATAGCACATACGAAAAAGCCCCGACCCAACTGTCGCGCTGCCTCTGTTNTGGATCTGAGATTTGAAAAGTTTACCTACTGAGGCTACTTCAGAAAAAAACTATAGACAAAATATTTTTTGTATAGTTATCATGTATACACAACTGTGTGCTAGCTTATAAGAAACTATTATCTTCTTCACATATAATAATTAAAATAAGACCATAATCTACTTTGTGAAAAGAGTGTAGTTATATAAACTGACAGGTTCTTTACTTTTCTATGAATGTCTATCATTTTCCACAAATCAGGTTCCCTGAATTCATCCCGAAATAAAATCCACATTTGTGGAAAAAAAAATCAATTAACGCTCATACTGGTGACCAATTAGGGATTTTAATTTAGGGATTTTTTGATTTAGGGATTTTCTTTTGAATTTAATGCATGCAGTATATACAATATATATTGTGACCAAGTGCTATCCTTGTTCTACCATACCAAGCATCTTCTACCATGAAAAGCAAGGATTTTAGCAAAAATTATTTTGCCAATCAGTCTATGCTGGTCACCAGAAATAGAATAAATAGCAAGATGAAAATCATTAGAAAATATTTGAAGATATTTGGTTGGCCAAGAAAAGAGGTATAACTATATTTTCTGGTCACCAGAAATAGAATAAATATGAAAATGATGACTGATAGAAGAGACTCCGACTAGCTAATCTCATGGGTAGGTTATCATTTACTAGAAATTGTGGTTCCCTAAATCAGTTTCTAAACCGAATTCTACATTTGTGGACTATAAACAAATAAGTAGATACTGGTGACCAAGAGGGACTTTGATTTAGTAGCTTTTGAACAGCATATCAATATACATAATTAGAGGTGTGGTGCTTCTCGATTGAGAAAGAAACTAACTTGATCACTCATTTATGCTAAAAAAAACCGTTGAAACTGTCGTCTTGTTTTCAAAAGAACAGAGTCTGTTGACCAGTTGTTCTAAAATGGATAGAAACTCAGAACAAACTCTTTTCAAACTATAAGATCTGGTCACGAGTTCTTCTCAAAACTATTATGATCGAGGTCCAACATTTTTCATGGTAGATAATTCAGTCAACAGTTCATCTTGAAAGCATAATAGAAAATGAAGTCAAATTCTTTTCAAAAAATACGGCCTGGTAACCAGTTCTTCTCGAAATCATTGAAACTGGAGAAAAAGTTTTTCAAAAGATACAATCTGCTGACCAGATCTTCTCAGTGGTATAGGAGCTGAGCTCAAATCGTTTTTGATAGAAAAGTACAACGCTGAGGATTCAACCACTTTCCGGAAAAAGTTTTTTTATTCAATTTTGTTTGCCAATTAGGCGGAAAGCAGATGGAAAATAGATTTGGCCAAAAATAATTTGTCTTCAGTTTCTGTGCTTTTGAGGAGAACTGTTCACTAGATTCTATATTTCAAAGAAAATTCAATTCGAGCTTCCGTAATTCTGGGAAGACTTGGTGATCAGATCGTATCCTTTGAAAGAAATTTGTTGCCAGTTCTAATAGTTTCGAGAGGAACTCGTGACCAGATCTTATAGTTTGAAAAGAGTTTGTTCTGAGTTTCTATCCATTTTAGAACAACTGGTCAACAGACTCTGTTCTTTTGAAAACAATACGACAGTTTCAACGGTTTTTTTAGCATAAATGAGTGATCAAGTTAGTTTCTTTCTCAATCGAGAAGCACCACACCTCTAATTATGTATATTGATATGCTTTTCAAAAGCTACTAAATCAAAGTCCCCACTTGGTCACCAGTATCTACTTATTTGTTTATAGTCCACAAATGTAGAATTCGGTTTAGAAACTGATTTAGGGAACCACAATTTCTAGTAAATGATAACCTACCTATTCATACCAGCTTACGCAGGCACTCAGTAGTGTCTCTAACGAGATGCCTCTTTACTGCCAGTTGTAAAAGATAGACCTTACTCAGATTGTCACATATTCTTACGCCATGATCTAGTCACCAATTCGAAAAGACGATATAGACGCTCAGTATCGGTGTTATATGTCTTCTTATCTTGTTAATATTATCTAGTTAGTGCAATTTATGTAAAAACTAAATGTAACATTTTCTTTTAAAACAAAGCAGCGCTCAAGCCTAATCAAGATAAAATAATTTCTCAGCAGTGAAGAAACAATTCGCAATGAAGATAGTTAATTTTGCAGATGCAATCTGTGATCATACTATAGTTTAGTTCTATTTCGATAATCAGACGTAAAGATTTTATTGTGAGATCGTGATAAGTGTTTATCTTCTCTGATAAGTTCATTGTGTCTTTTATTTACAATATTCAAAGATTTAACTTTCTGAATATAGTGAAGAAGACTGATTATATAGTTACCAAAATGTTATAGCACAAACAATAAAAAAACTAATAGTATTAAAACAACAATTTTTTAAACTCAGAAAAAGTAAAATGCTTAGTTTCATACAACACAAAGTATCAAAAGAAGTAAACGAAAACAATGCAAGAATATACGTGGATTATTTAAGTAATTTTTGCGCAACAAGAATATTTTCAAGATAAAGTAGAGTATTAGAATAGATAAGGTAGAAATCTTCAGTAAATGGATAATTTTACCAAAAGAAAGAGTTAGTTAACAACGTACAGCATTCATTCTGGTCACCAAATGAAAACTAATTCAGCAATGACAAGTAGAAAACAGCTATACAGAAAAATGTTATAGAATTAGAGCAGAATGTTCATCTTTTCCGATGTTGCTGTTTCTATGAGGCCTTTTTTGCAATCCATTTCGATGATTCCAATAACAATTCTGTTACATTGAGTGTTCCAGCATTATAACTATTCCATAATGATTGTAATGAATCATCTATAAGAGTTGTTATTGCCGCTCGCTTTCGTTTGCGCACCGGTTTATCCGAAATCACTTTCATTAGTAATTGTTGAACTAATAATTCTTCCTTTTCAAACCATAAAATGAGACGATAAAGATGTGGATGAGATGATAATTGAGCACTCATTTTGTTATTATATCCTATAATCGAGAAAAGAATAGGAATGACAATCAGTTGGAAACAATCACGATTACAATTTTTTCAGGCATTTGGTGACCACACACACATTTCATCTCTGAGCACAGTCGCTGTCGGAAACTAGCTAATCGACTTATCAACAAAAGTTCCTTTTTCTACCTTTGCAAAAAAGGCTATTATCTGGTGACCACATTCCTTTTTCATAATCAAAGCTTTTTTGCTAAGCAACTATATCAGAAGAATCAGAGTATAAGTAGATCAAATATTACATACCTTCAAGTCCGTTGTTTGTACGTATTGGTTCACCAAATACACAGAATTTATAAGTCTTTGTTAACCATTGTGATTCGTAATAAGTGAAGAAATTGCCCAAATTATGTCGAAGAGATGTTGGTTTTCTTGGAACATTATTGAATTGTGGTTTAATAACGTCATAGTACACTGTTTTTATTTGATCATTAGGTATAAAAGCCAAGGCCATTGTTTGGCGAAGAATTTGTCGTACTACTTCTGTATTTTGATATGCATCTTGTAGTCCTTTAAATTGAATATTTCGATATATTGCTTGGTTATAGTGAAACGCACATCCAAGTAATTTTGTATTCGGTAGCTGCAAATAGAAGATAAATGAAAAGATACTAGTTCACCGTGAAATTGTGAATCTGTTCACCAGAGATAATTAATTACTGTATGCTTCTGATACTTATAAGTATACTTGTACTTGTGCTTTTAACTGTAAAGATAATTTAGAACGTATTTAATGACCGAAATAGTACTACAAGAGCTCAAACTGTTGATTAGGATTTAAGAAATAACTTATAAAAATAATGTATGAAAAGAAAATTTACCTCTTGTTTAATTGCTTTAATTAATCCACTTTCATAATCACTCATCCAAAACATTGGTTCAAAATTTAGTTGTAAGTCATGAACAGCTGTTCTAAGTATTTGTATAATTAATTTATACGTTTCATAGTTTTTCTTTTCACATAAACAATATACCAATGGTACTAGAAATAGAAATGGACGAGTAAAGAGAAACTAATGATAGCTTTTTCTGGTGACCAGATCACGACTAATTCTTACCACTATGGATTTCTTCAATTTCACCCATTATTATATAATTCTGTTGGCTAATTTGTGCTGCTGTCTCAAAAGTACCATCACTACCAACACGTTTTGATTTTGATAAAAGGTTGAGTTGTAAATTGCTGCTATAAATTAACAATCGACCAACTTTAGGCGGTGCTGAACTGTACGGTACTTGAACAGAATTCGAATCATACAACAAGAATCTTTCTCCTTGATTTGTACACGTAAATCCAGGATGTAAAATAAAATTCGAATCGTTTGGTGATGCTGGTAAATGTTCTTGACGAATACGATACAGTTGTGCTTCTGAAACAATATGCAACATCATAATATAGCTAGTAATTTTCATACACAATGGAATNCATCACGTCAAATTTTGTTCGTCTATCCAATGAGCGATGAAAATAAAATGTTGTATTATCTTATTATAACGTTATCAGACATAGCACAGTGAAGATTAGAAAATTCAACATACTACGATAACAATTAATATTGATTCAAGGACTGACTATAGAGAAGGACGAGAAATCATTTTAACCGTGGTTAATAAGTACAAATAGTTTATTTAAGTTGCTATAGAAGGAAAAATGTAAATTCGTCAAACAATTACTAGTATCATCATTATGACTGATTCATCAAATCGGTAAAAATCATCTCGTTACCTCAGGTTGATAAGTCTTATGCTTTCTCTTTTATTCTATTCGCATGGAAATGGTTCGCGTTCTTGATACACATACGTACACTGGAAAAGTTTTTAAAAACCGATTATCTTTATTTCAGATCTCAATATATATATATCAGTGACGATTGCTGCATCTTCTACTGGTGTATTTCATTTCTCATCACTAAGCAGTACATTCTTGAAATACGTACGAATCGGTTTGTCAATGGAAAGTTCAGATCTGTCTTTTAACAAACTTCTGAACTTATATTGTTGGAAAGAAATTCCTAATTGTCCTGGACGATATCTATTAGTTAAGCAAGATAATCAACATCTTAGACTGGTTCTACCGAATGCATTTTTAAATAATCAAGTACCTATAGAAATATTTACTAGTGAAATGTGTCGAGATCAAATACATATTGGAAAATTGTCGGATGGTGGACTATTATCCTATGAGAAATCTGATGGAACATTTGTTCATACTTTAAACAATCTTTCCGGGCTGAAAAGAAAGATGAATCATTTAAATATCTATTTTCATGACGACAATACAGACAAATGATATTTATTAATTAATATTTTATATACTTTGCATAGTTTTTCCGTTCTGAATAAGCAAATACAGATACATTGATCTGGCTTTTTCTCGTTATTGCTTAAGTCTTTATTTAAACATTGCAAAATTCATTTGAATAGAAAGAGCTTGAATATGTTAAGAATTACTATGTATGCTTATACACGTTCTTCCTTGTAAAAATCACAAAGAAAAAGAGACGGAATTAATTATTATACCGCTTGCTACACTTGTGGTAGACAGAAGTATGGAATCGGTTCATCTTACTATCTAATATTTTACAAAAAAGTTGTGTTGTCATATGATAGAGCTGTTTAGCTTTAGATGCATGGAACATGAGCTAAACTGGGCTCGGCCTTTAGGCGAATTTTTCAGTAGAATACTTGAATCCTGATCAAAGACGTTCTAAATATTCATTTCTTTTCTTCCGTCCCTATGCACTGCGCCGTTCTTTTCATCTTGCTTCTTGATCTAAAATGCATACAAGCACTCATAAAAAATGAACTTTGCTGCCTGAAACAACATATGTATACAAATGACAACTCCAATCCAAATGAAGTGATTTTCTTCTGGCATCCACAAGAGAAAAAGCAAAAGACCCAAATCATAACGCCCATCCTAAAAAACAGTGTTTATTCTTCCTACCTATGTAGTTACTCAAATTCACAAAAAAAAAAGGGACAATGAAAAATTATCCGAGTACTTCAAGTCCTTTTTTGTATCAATCACTCAATGCAGTATGAATAGTAAAGTAATTCTTTACAGAAAATCGCAATCATAAAATTTTCGTTCCACATTGGTTAGAAGTTGATTCTTATTTTGTGAAAACAATTACCAAGCGTTTTTATTTTGTCTCACTTATTATCCATATCTGATTGAACATCACTTGTGTCAAAATCCGCATACGAATATTATCAACAACATACACATTCTCACTTCTAATGTAACTATCAACGATCAATTTTCCATTTTAGGGTGTGGGTGTGAGCTTTGCCCTTCCCTATACCCACCACCCAACTCTTAGCGGTCTTCGTTAAGTTACAATATTCTAATATGTTGGGATCCAAGGAAATTTGTCTGTCATAGCCTACTGTAGAGTCTATAAAGCCTCCTGATGAGACTCTTAGCAGAGTCGAAATGCCTCGTGATAATTACAATTGTTTTTTTTTAAGTGAAGATTCGATAGTCATTATAACTTTTAGTTAGTTATCATTAGTGAAACTATATCAATGAAATGTGGATAAAATTATGATAAATTGCATTCCCTGACCTTTATCTGTTATATGTTTCGTGCAAACATGGTCATTATTCAATTTTAGTATTTCTTTTATTTTTAGATTGATTGAAACTTTTAATTGAACTTATCATTTAAATTGTGTGTTACATTTTCATTCGTTAATTCTGATGACCTTGATTTAAGCCTTTCTTCTTCATCAAGTTTGGATAAGAGTTTTTGTTGAAATACACATTAAAGGAGAGAAAAACGTATTAATGGACTCTTTTTATACAGCTATAATTAGCTTTTTACTTTTATAATTGTATAGCAGTTCATTTACATTAACTTCAAACATGAAGTTTCATTAAGAAAAGCGAAATTTACTTGAAGCATAAGAATAAAACAAGTACATAAGTATATGAATTTGAAAATTTTGTTTAAATAATTAAGCGATATAAAAAACATACTTTGGCATGGGCACAGCGATACAGAAGCGACAAGTGAGTTGAATATTAAAACAGTAGAGACAAAGAACGAATGCTGAAATTCGAATGAATGATTGAAAGTGTCACGCAATATTTTTTGATAAAAAAGACATTAAGAATACGACGATTGATATTATAACTGTTGTTGAACGTGGCGCACTTGCCGTCAACGAGGCTAGTGATGTTGTTGTTGAAGTTGAAGCTGAAGTAATTTGAGTAGAGAAGCAATGAACTATAATTATTCGAATATTTACTACTCACGAAAACTGCCAAGTATCTGAAATTTCTGTACTTGATTATTTTGCGTGTCGCTAATGAAGATAGATCCATAGGTATCGAATGCGATTGCATTAGGGCTATTTAGTATATCAACTTCATTTTCACTAGTCCCATTACAAGCCACAATACATTCACCAGAAGTTGAATTTGGCGGCCATCGTAGGATTCAGTTGTTTCCAAAATCCGCTATATAGATGTATCCATTCGAGTCAACAACAACTCCCTTCGGCAACGATAATTAAGATTAACTACTACCAAACATGCCAATGCCTGCCACTATTATACCAGAGGAAGCTCTATTATCCCATGGTTGAATTCAATGATTTTGAGAATCTGCAATGCACAGTGTTCCAGCATCATTGAAAAATATTCCATTTGGCATATTTAGCTGTAAAGTGCTGCTTCCTTGGGTGCCGTTGCCAGCGACTATCACACCAGGCATACCACCCGATGACCTCGATGGATAACAAATCATTATGTTGTTTTGCATGTCACTCACATATAAGTTCTCATTATTCTCGACAAATAAATAGCTGGGAAGATCGATTGTTGATGTATTTAGACTGGTTTCAAATACACCTTTAATTCCGACTACGGTAACTGGATCTGTTCCATTTATAAATATTTTACTACTTGATAATTGAATACGTCTGGGACGTAGATATAATTTTTGAGTAAAAAAAACATCAATCGAATGATACATAAATAGATTTCTGGAGTTAGATCCTGTTTTAATGATAGCTACAGCCGTAATTGAGTTAGGTTCCATTATAACAATTCGATTATTCAGCAAATCGACGATGTAGAGAGCATTGTCATTTGCAATCCTTATTCCTTGATTGATACAGAGAGTAGCTTGAGATGATCCAAATGTACCATTTGTCAAGCCTGCAACCATGGGGGCATCTTGAGTCCAATATGTAAAAGCCGATTGATTTTGTTGTGCTGTATACATATGCAAGTGTCGACATTAACTTTTTTTTCTTTCTAAATTACATCAACATTTTGTTTTATGCTAGTCAATGCCTATGAATTTTGAAGTGTGAATAAAGAATAGCAAAAACATCCCAATGTGTTCTTTGCAATGGCGCTCTCTATATTTATGTCCAAAAATATTTTGAAAGTTATTTTCATTTAAATTACTTAAGAAAATTATGATTATTTATTTGGTTTCGACGAAAATAAATTTATTAGATCAGTAATAATTCTTAGATGATCAAGAAATATTTTTAACTGACTTATCTCAGTCTATTTTTCCTGCTTTTACAAGGCAGCTAATGCTCTCATAAGACATGTTACGCCAGATCTTGAACTACTCAGCAAATCTTGCTTTTGATTATAAGATTGATCTTCAAAAAACTAAATACTTCACATCTTAGTTCTTTTGGTTTAGATAGTATTAATTATTATCGTCATAGTTCCGAAAAAAAGAACCCATACTTTTATTCTTCCCAGCGAGAAGCACCATACAGAAAAAAAAATAAACAAAGAGGACATCCATAATATTATTTACGTGACAGATTCACTCTTATGGAATCATGGCCTACGATAGCAACATAGATATTCTCGTTAGAGGATTATTTCACTACTTAATTAAAAAGTGATCTCTATTGGTTGAACTGTTTCTATTTAAGTGTTAACGACTCTAAGGATTTTGTGCATACATAGAAATGCTGATGTAATCAAGTTGACAAGTAACAAAATGTGTTTCTTACCGGCAACACAATGCAATAATATGAATGTCAGCATTCAAAAGCAAATAGTTGTCGTCGACAAGATGGGCACGAATATTTTATGTTCACACTGCATTTACCGTGAAAAAAAATCGATTAGCTAATACTTTTGTTCTTAGTAAAGAACAATTTCACAAGGAAAGTTCCGTAAGAAGATAGCTTTACAAAGTGAGTCAAAAGTTATTATTCCAAAAGAAATCGAATATTAAGCCATCTTCTTTTGTGAGATTGCGTTGATTTCTATACTGATAATGAAGAAAACGTTCACAGCTCATATTCATGAAAAAGTCATTACGAAAAACGTCTCTAGATATTTTCGTCCGACTCAATAGCAAGCAAGAAACTGCTGTCATCATCTCTACAAACAATCTTAACTATTTTCATGGCCAAAAAAATGAACGATACAGATTAATTGCTTGGCTCATTCTACTAGGTATATCCTCTTCTGATCTCACATGTATATCAACGTTTCATATTATATTACTCGAGTTTAGTATTGAACTTTCGACGATAAACAGAGAAAATATGTTGATGAAGCTGTTCTTTACTCGTTGTGCTTTTTGTGATGAGAAACTAATTATATAATTTCTGATCTACAAGCTGTTTAAATGAATAATAGATTAAAAATGCTGGTGATATCATCATCACAACAATCTTGGTTAAGAGAGTAAACTGAAGTAAAAACGTATGCAATATTCAGACATATATATGACTCTAGATCAGAATACTTGAAAGAATGGATTGAGTAGCTCAACTGTGTCGTTCGTTTGGGTGATGAAGATAATCTAGGTTATTTGTAGAAGTGATGAAAGACATTGTTTCTTCTTATTGAGTCTGACAGTGATATTTGGAAATTATTTCGGTAAAGATTTCTTTCATGAGAATAAGCTATGAATATTGTCTTCATGAATAGTGAAAAAATGACTTTTGAGTTGCCCTGTCGTATCATACTTTGCTACTTTGTCGGAAAACTTTGATCTAACTAATAAAAACCGTGAGAGAGAATAAAACTGAAAAATAATGTATATAATATAGAAACTGTTGTTCTATTTTATATACGAGAACGTTCATATGATGCAGATGACTTGATACTAATTAATTATTTAGTTCGAAAAGAATTTTTTTAGTGGCAATTTTTTTCATTCAATGACTAGTAAAAGTCAGCATATGGTAATTGAGTTTCGAGAGAGAAAAGAAGTAAAAAACTGAAAACACCATGCATTTCGAGCATGAATAAATTAGTTGATTGTTTCTCCTTTCAAGATATTTTACATGAGCTTGTTATTCATATTGCTAACAACAACTGCGTAACAAACTCAGAAACTACTGTAAATTTTGAATATTTTTTTCTCTTATCATCACTGAAATAGTTTAATAGAAAATGAAAACATCGAGTCGATACAAATACAGAAGAATACATTTCAACAAATGTTGTTTTTCCATTGTTTTGTGTTTGTATTTTGATTAAAAATCTAACAATTATGAATTTTCTAACATTTTATTTCAATGACATTGCTACTGTTCATGACCTAAGGCGTATTATATAATTGCCAAGAGAAAAAAGCCAACGTTAGTGCATTTATACTGATGAAGAAATTGAAATACGAAAGTAGCAGCTGTTGCGTTCAAGATTTGGAAGAAAGAATATTTGAATAATTAGTTATAAGTTATTCTTTTATGCTTCAAGAAAATCACTTGTCAAATTATGACAATGCATTTTTTTGTTGCTACTTTTATTTTTGGATATTTCACAAAGAATTCTCAATAAATTGTTCATAACAGACAGCATCGCCATCAGATGCCATTCTCGATCATTTTAGAGTAGTGCACAGAAGTTCCTCTTTTCATGGATATCTCAATATTCTGAAGCTACGTCTGATCGAATCAGAAAAACAAATGTATGAATCATTTTAGGTGGCTAGTGGATATTGTTAAATCGAAGACACAATTTACTAGTCAGAGAACGTCGCAGTACATCCCCTGTACGATCACGTAATGAGCTCATCTAAGAGAGCGCTAATTTTTGAATGATTTCATTCATTCAATCTGTTTTGACTCTTAACCATCGTCAATGGACGAATACAATATTTGAAGAGAAGTGATTTCAATATGTGCATTTATGTTCCTTCTTACTGTCTTCATTGTCATTATTTCTCGTCTATATGTCTCAAGTGAATCTTACTCAATCGGCCATTATCAAAAACCTAGAGTTCGACCTTTTCCATATGCTCGTTCGTTGTTATCTTCAACCGCTCGATTGTCCGTGCGAGAACAATGTGATTATGAAAAAAATATTCATTTCACTTTATCCTGAATTTCATGAAGTCAGCTACACAGGAGGTCCGTTCTTTCGAACTTTCACAACTTTTGGTCCTCTACCTAAGGCGAGCAAGTATTCACAGCATAATATGAGATAATTTAATTCACATCAATGAAGTATTTTATATTGATGCTTAAAATTCTTCATTAAAATATATTGCTTATAGAAAATACATCGGCTCAGATATGTTTGATGAAACAAACTAAAATTTATATAATGTGTTTTTTGCTCTCTTAACCAATTTTGAGTACATCCAATGTCTCTGCTTTTATAACAGCTACATGTAGAGACGATCCTGAGTCGCAGCTGTACGTAACTATGAAATTTTGATCGTCATGGAAAGCATTGCAAAGACTACGATTACTGCGCCGCATTACTTGTTTCGAACGATCCAATGTATTTTATGTAAATCAATCATAGATAATTCCATTTTATTTATAAGTGAACACACTCTAGAGGCATGACTTAGCCGCAGAGGGACCGTACAAAAGGAATTCTTCGTGAGAGGATGGTTCATAGTTCATTCTTCTACAACCGATAGAGCATTCAGTCAGAGCGCTATGCTTTTGAAACCAAAAATGAATCTCGAGATTTTTTAGGTTCGCAAATTCAAATCCGGGGGCAGATTTTGATTATTGTTAATATTTTTTAAATTTTCCATTGTTTTTTCGATTTCTAAATTTTTTAATATTTTTTATTGTTGTTGTTTTCGTTGGTTTGAATTTCTGGAATTTTTTGTTTACGTTTTTTTATGATTACTGTTGGTCAAATTTTTTTGGAAATTTCTTACTTATCTTGTCTCTTTTAGCAACTATGGAGTAGTTACGCCGTAGCTACCCCGTAAGTTGATCGTAATCGAACACATGGAATGACCAGAGTGACCGGTTTTCTTGTCACCGATCCGTTCTGGTTGAACTTGTCAAATTGACCGAATTTCAACCCGCTTTTTTTCAGCTTCTTTTTATTGATTTTAAGTGTATTAAAGCTTGAATGTTTTTGTCAATTTTCATCATTTGAATCTTCGAGAAAAATGAATGTAAAACTTCAAGTGAATAAATTCTGTAGTCAATATCAAAATTTCAGCGCTCAATTTTGACCTAACACTTTCCAATATACAATGAGTGGTATCGAAGCATACCGAACGCATTGATGAACGTTAAGAAAAATTATTCACCGATTCCCAATCTAAACTCGAACGTAACTAGAAATTTCCTCTCTCAAAGTTTCAGATTCACTTTTGGACTGCTTGTCGCTATCTGTCAGAAACATTTAAGAGGAGTAGGTGTGGGTTTCTATGAGGGTCTGGATTTTCTAATAAATCAATCACACTCACACCCACCCACACCCACCCACACCCACACCCACACCCTATTTGATATTTTTCTGCCTAAGGAAGCAAATGTCTTCATTGGTCGAGTCTTGGCCGACAAAATCCTTTTGGATGGCTTTAGAGATTTATGGAATAACAAATATCATCCTATTACGGGTATTCTCCAATTACTTTTTTTTAACAAACTTTTCCTGAAAACATGTGAAACCGACCCAAAAGTACCTAGAGATATCTACTAACACGCAAAAGATCTTTATTAATAAGTCGTTAGTATCCAACTTGTCTTTACCAACACCAACAGATTCCTATGCTGTTAGAAAATTAAATGTCGGTCTATTGAATTGTTTATTTAACTCAATTCAATATTGTCAATTATTCTTATTATTATTTTCCTTGTTTTCATACATTTGTGCTTATTTTTAGACTTTTTTTTTTGTACTGTATATAGGCGTATTTCCAAGATAAATAAGCTTCTGTAGCTATTTCAATCATATATCAATGAGTAGATTGAATATTTCAGTGGATGCTAGTATAAGTGGTAGTCATTTTATGTTTTTTATTGACAGTATTTTTTTTCTAGGATTCATATAAAGTGAATCTTAATGAGCATAATTCGTTCAGTTGTAACTGTTAGCGAAGGCAACTTATACAGGATTTTGTAAAGTTGCGTGTCAGTGATGCTGGAACTTTATAGCGAATTACGGTATATAAGGACACGGTTTCCATAATATTATGGAAATATTACCTTCTTAAGCTTGTAGAAGTCAAGTACTATAAACACTTCAGACTTTAAATTATCTGAGGTGATTTCAATTTAATTCTCAGCAGTTTCAGTCTCAATACTGTATGGTTCAACGAAAACAGCTAGATTTTACCCTGTGCTAAGAACTTCAAACCATTCGAATTAGTTTTTCCAGTGAAATCTTGGCAAATGAAGAGAGTTGCTTCCTTTCGTAGAAAAATAGCAAAAGATTGATCTACTGATTCATTTTTTACTTTTAGTAATGAAATACTGCAGAATGAGAGATTAGGTGATCTAAAAAGCTTATCTATGCTCAAGTTTCGAGATTTGCAGTGATCACGAATGCCACCTATTATAAGTTCGTTTTAACTTGAGCAATTGTTACGTTAATATTGTCACTAATCTACATTATTTATGGACTATCTCTGTGGCAAAGTTTTCAGATGTTTAACTCTCATAGGACTAAGATTTGAGAGATGTGGGATACTTTCGACCAGTAGTGTAAATAATAAAAAGTCATAGTCGACACACTGGGAGATTCGTAATTTTTGGATGATCGTATAAAAAATTCTATGAAGATTCACTGTTTTAAAGTGTAGTAGAAATTATTGAGTTTTCGTTTTGTTTCACTTATTATATTTTATACAGATTATTATCAAGATACATTATTTGTTTTCTTTTTGTAACAAATGTATCGTAAAGATTGTTTTTGATCAATGTGTCACAATTTTATTTTTCTCTTTGTATTTTTTTAGATTCTTTTTCTGTATGTTTAATGTAGAATTTTTCTTTGATTGATATCATCATTTTAGTTAGACAAGAGTTCAATAGACAGAATTTCGATTGATCAGAGAATAAATCTTAAATCTGAAAAGAATTTTACTATTGTTGCAATACAACTCTGAGTCTTTTAATTGTAGTCAATGATGTATGTCTTAAATAATCTAGCAAGATTTTTGTGTTTTTTCTCATAATTAGTATGAACATAATATATTTTTATTTTCAGTGCTATGCCCAAGTGATTACAAGGATTAATGATGTTAAGAAAACAAAAACATAGTAGTAATACAAAAAAAAAAAGAAGAACAAGTTGATAGTGACTTTGACATAGAACAGGTCGTGTAGTATATTATAAAAAAAAAGTCAAGCAAAAAACAAAACCATCTGTTTTAACGTTAAATTACTTTGTTCATTGATTTCTTTCACCAAAAATTAGTTTCTATATTTTTACATTTTGTCTTTATTTATTATTCAATATTTCATCAGAATTATTATAAAAATGAAAAATAAAAATTAATGTTAATGAATAGAATATTACATAAACAATGTAGTAAATGAAGACAGACTTATACATTAACAATAGATGATAAATTTTGTTGTTTATATTGAAGTATTCCAAATGTTGCAGAAAGTGAAGGTTTATATAACATATTATTTGATTGATAATTAATTAAAAATGATGAAGATGAAACTGAAGATATATTAGTTTGTCTATTTGTCAAAAAATTAGATTGATATCGTTTGTATCTTGTTTGTTGTTGTTTAGCTGAAAATAATCGATTAGAAATATTTATTTTTTTTTTTTCGTTATGCTTCGATAAGTATACTTTTTGTTGTTGAAATCGTTTCATCATGAAATATTTTCATACATTTATTAATCAATGAAAATATTAGAAGAAGAAAAAATAGAATAATTGTAATGAGACCAATAAACACAAGGATCGTATGAATTTCAATATTGTAATCGATAGAAGCTGTAAATAGATACAAAATATAATTATGACAACATAGAAAAATGAGATAGTTCATCATAATTAATTAAAAAGAAAAATGTCACCATGATCTTGCTCAAACTAAATTATAAAGTAGTCTGCTGTTAGTCTCAAACGTTGACAAGTGAAAATCTTAATTATTGACAGTAACGGAAATTGTTAAGCACTACTTTCTTAATATAGAACCGAAAACCTTTTTTTTTTATAAAACATCATATTAAAGATTGAACCTTTCTTTAACTTTCGAATGCGTTAAAAAAAAAGGAATTCTAACAAATAACAAACCATGATCTTCTTCATAAGAAGATAAAAATTGATCGAATGAATTTGTTGGAAATGTTGCTTTAATCATTGTATTAAACGTATGATCAATGACACATATGTCTAGTTTGGAGTGTCTGTTAAAACACAATCATAAATGTATAATCTATACTGCTGTTCTGGCATAAGTAGTTTGACAAGGTATATAAATGCAGTAACAAGGAACAAAAAGAAAATGAAGAGTACAAAGACAAACAATGATTTCAATGTTAAATGTTGTAATGGTACACTTCTAAAACAAAACAATCTAAAAGTCTTGACCTTCATCTAATAGTCAGACATATGACTACTATTTCATTTTCTTACAATAAATGTCAATAAATTGATAACGATGTAATGTCTCTTTTTTTATTTTACATCAAATTAAGATCATATTACATATAGATCAAAACAACAACAACAACAACAACAAAATATTTAATGTATTGGTGAATAAAATATAGATTCAATAATCTGGTTGAATAAATTCATCATTAGTATTTTTTAATTCATTATGATTTTCATCATCGAAAGTTAATTTATTTTTTAAAGTATTATTTATTTTCTTACATTTTAATGAAGTATTTGCATATAATATTCGTCTTTGACTAGAATTAAAACCTGCTGGATAACTTAATTCAGGATTAAAAACACTACCATTGTCAGTAAAACGTTTTCGTTTTTGTTTAATTAAATGTGTTTCAATAAAACAAAGACGAACTTGATTTAGAAAAATACTTCGAAATTTTTTTCCAGCTAAACAATAAAGAAAAAAATTTACAATATGTGGTAAATCTGATAATATATCTTGTATAACACTTGAATAAAATCTTATTTTATATAATCTAATATCACTATCACTAACTTCGAAACATGAACGTCCATGTAATGACAGTTGAGGATCATAAATTCTTGTAAAAAGAAATATGATTGTATTTGGAATATTAAATATAATTAATGATAATGTAACAGCTAAAAGCATTCGTGTTACTTGTGCACTTGTACGTCGTTTTATTGCTTGACTCGTATCTATTGTTAATGATGAATTTTGTGACGATTGATGACGATATCTAGTNGACTAATGACAAACAAAGTTTAAGTATGACATCCAGTCGTGCGTTGTTCTTCAAGAGCTTACCAAAATCATCTTCTACCAATCGAAGACAAAAAAAAGAAAACCAACTGCACAAGCATTTCGAAAATGTTTAAATATAGATATTTATCTGCATTGTATTATTTCAGAACACGATATGATAGATTCTCTTTTGTTTAAAGTTACGTGCAACATTTGTCAACATGTGACAAGTCATAAAATATTTCCATGAATTTTGAAAAGTACACTCATAGGTATAATACAAGTTATTTGATGTACAATACTTTTATGAGGCTATAACTAGTAAAACAAAGAGCTTCATAGTGAAAATTGTTTTCATCTTAACAGTAGCAATTATTGCCTGCTGTATTCAGAACTTTTGCATAATAGTATTACTAGAGAATGGCAAATTTGCTTATTTTTGGGTCCCTGTCGCACTCTCATGGTCTTGAAACAAAAACCAGTTTTTAAAAAGTCTATTTTATTTGGATATGTATTTTGCTTCGAATGATGATTGATTTTTCTTGCGTTGAAGTAACATAATCAAGAGATGCAAGAGCTGAATGGTATGGGCGTATGTCTACTCTTGATCTTGACCACTTCCACATCCACACCATTTTCTTGGCATTCGCCCATTCTTTCGAGTGTAGGATGTCTCAAAGTATGCAGAAATGTTTTCTTCATAAAACTGGCTATTTCACTAGACTCTAGACTACTTTTTAATTATTGATAATATTAATACAGAAGCATAAAAAACAGTTGGCTATTAGACCAAATCTCTGCTAATTTGTCTCGAACCGTACGGAATGATGTTGTTTCAATAGGTATGCGTGTAGCTGTGGCTGTGGGTGGTGGGGGATGGCGTGGATGCAGTTAAAGAGAAATACCCAGCCTACACCGACGCCCATACCCATCCCGCACCCTCGAAAGTATCAAAAAACGATCTGTTTGAAACGGCGAGAAGAGAACAAATAGAATGAAGACGGAAGTAATTAATGTTTTCTCATGTCACTTAATGTTTATTTTATTGATGTGAATCTAACACAAAAAAAAAGCATAAAATACTCCACTTCTATTTATTATATATTACTTACCATATGAATCACAGTGATATGAACCTAAACATAAAAAGAAAATACTGAATTTCTATTTGTCATGTGTTGCTTATCGTTCCTATCGTATTGATATGAATCTTAACATAACAAAAAGAAAATATTAGTTTTATATTCATTACATGTAACTTATCATTTCTATCATATCTATTGAAACCTAAAAATAAAAACAAGTAATGTAGTCACTTTCTATTCGTTGTGTGTAATTCACCGTTTCTATCATATTCAATGAATCGTAACATAAAAAAAAGAAAATATTAGTTTGTTATTTATTATATGTAACTTATCATTTCAATCATATTGACTTCAACCTGAAAGTAAGTAAAACAAAATATTCATTTGTAAATTGTAAGATGTAACTTACCATTTCTTTCATATTGATATCAACCTAAAAATAAAGAATAAAATAGTCTTTTTTTTCTTTGTTATATGTAACTTACTATCTTTGCATCTTATCGATATGAGCCTAATAAAAAAGATCAGTGAGTTTCCATTTAGTAACATATAACTATATAACTTACTGTTAGTACTTGATCAATATGAAACTTAACTCATGTGTAGCTTACAATCAGAAACGATAGTTTCCCATCGTGCGTTTTCTATCTGAGAAGATCAATCCTTCACCAGAAAAAAAACGCAAAATATTTTAAAAAACGTTTAAAAAATAAAATGTTTGTCAGTATAGAAATAGTGTAACTTTTTATGTCTGGTTATTTTCAAAACAGTAGTAAAAAATGCACTTTCTCTAAGAATCTTAATGTTGATACAACAAGATTCACTTCAGTGGAAGTGAGTAATAATTGAGCATTGAACTATCGTCTTGAATCTGCAGATTGAAGACTTAATCTTTTCTTTTTATTCGATTACAAAATAAAAGTAAAGAAACTTCGAAAAAAAAAGAACAACTCTAGCGCTATAATTCATTGTTCTTTTGAAAACAATATACGCACATGCTGTTTAGATGTCATATAAATGACAATAATCTGTCCACATGTTTACTCAAGTTGAAGTTTTTCATATGATTTGAAATTCTTCCAACTTGTGTTTATTAGGAATAAATCAGTCATAATAATTATCTAAAGCTAGAAACTTCTGGTGTTCTCACTCTTTGCAACTTTTAAAAGCCATAATGGCTATATTTAATCATTATTGTATGAAAATTTAATGAAAAAAGTCAAGAAAAAAAATATAATTTTTACGCTAATGATATTATTTACTTGTTTGCGAATTGTTAACATCATATTTTCCCTCATATATTCAAAATTGAGACTAGCTCAAGAATGTAAAAATAACATTAGACTATTTTGGAAGAAAGTTGATGCAAACAAAGAATGATCCATAATTAAATACGTTATATTAAATATGAGTAGTTTTCCTGTCACTAAAACTCTTTAAAGTTGAGCAAAAATTATGATCGGAAAAGAAAATTCGAACACCAAAAATGTTGTTTTAAGAAGCTTTTGGATTCTAATCACGATCTTTTTGGTGAACATTCGAAAATTTTTCAAACTTCGTTTTAGGTCTAACTCTAACACTTATCGGTTACCTCTTTATTCTTTCCATTAAAACCAATTTTGTCCTATATATAGGACACAACAAAGTGAAAGATCCATGAGTTGAGAAGTCCCATAGGTGATGAATAACGAAAAAAAAAAGGAAAATCTTATATATGTGAAAGACAGAAAAGGAAAAGTCTAACAAAGAGAACGAACGAACTATTTGAAGGACACCCATGTCTGGCACCGTGAAGCATTGTATGACATATATTCATGCGACTCCACTGCGAAACAAAGACGATTTTATTCTCGTTTGATGTAATGAGCACCGAACACCAGATGAACTGATCAGCATGCTACAGCCACTTTGTAATGAAATTCATCACTATCAAGATTCGACCAGTTGTCTAGAGTACATTCAAGCGCTACATGTAAAAGAGCGTGTCTTTCTTATTGTTTCGTCATCTTTCATGCGAATGGATGATGCCCACAAACTGCGTCAGGTCGATACGATCTTCATATGGAATATGGCAATTGTACCGATCAATTGTACTCCTATCGAAATGAATATGAAGTATACAAAGATAGTCATAGTTTCGAGCAGCGTACAAGAGCTTGTCGATACAATAACAAAATTTAGCATTGATCTTAGTAAACAAAACAAATTGTTCAATCTCTATAATCACAAACAAAAAGCATTTTTTAATCTATCCAAGTCGTCGGCTTCCTTTCTTTGGTTTCAGTTGTATAAAGATATGCTCATCAATTCACCGAAGGAGGAAATCGGTCTCGACAAAATTATTGCCGCCAAGAAACTTATGATAGAGAAATGTTACGATTATTATCGTCACAATACAACTGAACTCCAGAATATTGTTCAGTTCGATGCTACTTACATAGCGTCAGATGCTATTCGCTGGTATACTAGTAATACATTTGTGTATAAGCTTATTAACAAAGCTCTGCGCACTGAAGACATTGAAGTATTGCATACATTTCGATTCTTTATTATCGATCTCTGTACGAATCTCGCTGAAAAACACAAAGAAATGCTTGAACTTGAACTTCCATTGCCGTCTATTGTTTATCGAGGGGCGCAAATGAGCAAAATTGACATCGAACTCTTGCAAGAGAGCAAGAATTGTCTTATCGCAACAAATGGCTTTCTCTCCACGACTCGTAATCGTGAGGTCGCTAAAATTTATGCAGGCTCTGGTAAGAAATTGTATCAACGCATTATTTGAAAGCATAAACTATGAAGTCATTCGTTCGATTTAGGTGTGATCATATCAAGACGTCGTGGCGAAATTCATGCTGTCATTTTCGAATTTGTTATACCGTCTGATTTACAATCGATTGTGTTCGCTGACATTTCCTATTTGAGTAAAATGATCGATGAGGAGGAAGTTCTATTCGATATTGGAACGACATTCATTGTCTCTGATGTTACTTATGATGATGTTGAACAAACGTGGATTATTCGTCTCATTGGCTCGGACAAAGGCCGTAATATTGTTAGTAAAGAATATATTGAATTTTATCGTGAACACACCAAGAATCTATCACCAACAATAAAACTGGGTGAATTTCTCACTATTGTTGGACGGTATGATCAAGCACGGGATTATTTTGATGATTTACTGAAAGTTGATTATGAAAATGAGGTTCATATTCTGTATAGTCTCGCTTGGATTGATCAATGCCAAGGCAAATATAAGGATGCACGAGTCAAACTAGATTGTGCTTATGAGCTGGAAAATCAAAACCATTCACCATCTCAACAGATATTACGACATATTATCATCGACAATGGTACTATTCATCTATTAATGGGTGAACCAAATCTAGCATTGAATTGTTATCTAAAAGCCGACAAAATGATGTCAAGCTCGGCTGTATTCAACAATATCGGACTTTCTTATCGGCAAAAGCGACAGTGGGATAAGGCCTTGGAGTTTTTCAACAAGGCACTAGCACGAGATCAACATGATTGGCCAAATGGACATTATCGAATCGGGATCACTTTGGACAATATTGGTCGAACCTACAATGGTCAGGGAAAGTATAGAAGAGCACTCAAATTTCATTTCCGAGGTCTAAAAATGAAACAGTTAACCTTACCGGAAGACCATAAAGATATTGGCATTAGTTTCAACAATATTGGCTTGACCTATAACGATCTGGAAATGTACGATGAGGCATTGGTTTACCTTATGCGTGCAGTTGATATCTATAAAATGTGCTTGCCAGAAATTCATCGTGAGCAGGGCATTCTATTCGATAACATCGCTATTGCATATCGGTTCAAAGAACAGTGGAATGAATGTTTCTACTATTATCAACTAGCACTTCACATCAAAGAACACCTCGATCCAATCGATCGGCTAATACTTGCTCAGACTCTCCACAATCTCGGTGTAGTGTATGCTGATTCATCTATAACGAATGATCAGCAGGATGATAAGAAAGCATTCGACTATTTTCAACGAGCACTTTCCATGCATGAAGCTAATGGGTCGATATGGTCGCTCGATGCTGCCACCACACTTTACGAACAGGCTCGATTACATGAACGGTGTCAAGAATATCGAGAAGCTTTTGAATTATTAATTCAAGCTCTGAATATTCAGCAGACTACTTTGCCTCGCAATCATCCGGAAACGATCAAAACTCGAACAGCGTTAATTGGACTCAAGATTGAACTTTGACAGAAAATCCAAAAAAACAAAGAGAAACAATTTTTTGGACGAATGACTAGCAAAGTTGACTATTAGTAAATCTTCATTCTCTAAACTGAAACGATAGGGCTTTGAATTCATGCAATCACAAGACCCTTACGAGGGCCTATAAACGCTGAAAATAGATTTGATTGTTCCCTTTTCAATAGAATAAGATTTACCACAGAGGGTGTGGCGTGTGGATGAGTGTAGTTAGATGTGGGTGTGGAATATGGGCGTTGATAAAGAATGTACCCACACTCCTCATCCTCGACTTAAAAACAATGATATTTTCTCAACTGAATTTATCACCATGATGAAATTGCATATGATTATTATTCAAAAAATGGTCTTGTACAATCAAAAGGTGGCAACCAATAAAAAAAAAACTTGGTCACTTGTTAATGAAATAGATTAATTTAAAGTAATACTTGAATTGGTAATGTCGAAACTTCTCTATTTGTTCATGCAACGCGTATAATAATCAATTCGTGTTTTGAATAAACACCATGCTAATCTCAGAAAAATGACTTTGTCAAAAATGAATAGGATGGAGAATGAAATGGGATTCAATAACATGAAATTGTAACTTATTTCATTAATATGATTATAGAAATGATTAAACTCGGAAAATAAACCTTCAGATTATTAGATGTATATCAATAAGGCATATCATTTTTATTTCCATTCAAATGTATCTTTTTGTTGTTATTCTGAAATAAAGCATTTTTATTTATCTTCTTTTAATTGAAATATTACCTTTGGTCAACAGAGGGAGAGAAAGAGAGAAATGCTATTATAGTTTTTTGTATGGTAGAAAAATTTTCTAGTTAAAAAAAGAAACTAATGAATTTTAGATTATACTTGGAGAATATGTCCTTATTCATCTATTTTGAAGACGAATTTCATTGTCTACATTGTTCGATATTTTATGAGATTTTATTTATTTATTTATTATTTTTGTGAAATCTAATCTAAAAGGAATGTTGAAATATAAGAATAGAACTTCGAACTTCCTATAGACGTGGCCAACATCCCCATTAATAATATCTTTCCATAATTTCATGAACTATTTTCTTATTGTATTCCAGAAGGACTAAGTAAAAGAATGATGAAGACATATGCTAAGAAAAAAGATAAAGTAAAACAATCTGCTTGTAATCAGCTAACAGCAACTTCATCATGTTTCATATTTTAATCCCAATGAGTTTTCCTTACCAAGTTTCTTTTGTTAGTTTTATTCTGCTTCACATTTGTCTACATCATATTTTATGTTTTATTATGAATTGTGTATTTTCGATAAAACAACAACAATGAGACTGTGCTCTACTAATAAATGTTCCATTCTTCAAAAAAAAATTTACTCGTTCGATATCATATCATTGAATTGTCAGTAAAACTGTCAAGTGTAACATGCAATCAAACGATCTATGTCTTTTGCTAAAACAAATGGAATTATATGAAAATTGAAAATTTCCAAAGAAACTTTTTCCTATGCAATGAAATAAATTTCACAGTTTGAAACAAGTAAAGCGAAAAATGAAAAGTTTACAGAATGAAAGATTTATTTGCTTACCAATAGTGATGAACATTAAAGACGAAAAATTGCAAAACCCTTTTTTTTTCAATTCATTTTCAAAATGATTAAATTGTCATGGATTCTTTAACATATAAGACTTAAATACAACGCTGATTGGTTTATAATATGATGAAGAAGAAAAATATACTATAACAGGTAAAATTGATATTTTCTCATGAATTGAAACAGTTACAGATAAGTATTGAAGCACCCACTACAATAGGAAAAAGAATATTGTCTCACTATTACCAATACATATATTAGTACATTAATTATATACTCTTTCCTTTACTTACTTCTCTGCTTGATGTTAAAATTGCACCTAATGTTGTTCTCAATGGAAATCTCTTATTTCTGCCTGCATAACTACCAGTAACAGCTGTATTAAAATGATTGATTTGCATATGTGGTTGCTATGGAAACGTATTACATGACATTTAATCTCGATTTCTAAAGTCTATAATGAGAGTACGGGAAAGTGAGGCCAAAAAACTTCGACTTGAAACTTTTACTCACTATGGTTTTCGAAAGACTTATATTTAATTGAGCAATAAAATAATTTAAATGAGCAGTAATGAAATTTAGCGATTATTATATTGAATGAGCAATAATTTATTTAAATTAAAGGTAAAGGTTTACTGGAAATTCGCCAATAAGAATTTCGACAACGTAATTTGGACAATACTCCCGAATTTCGAAAACTGTCTAGACTGTTTCCAAAGTACTACAATAAAAAATTTCATCAGGTATTTTATTGTTTTAGCCATGGACAATAATATACCGCATGAGATTTTTTATTGTCGTACTTTGGGGAAGACCTAGACAGTTTTCGAAATTCGGCAATATTGTCGAAATTCCGTTGTCGAAATTCTTATTGGCGAATTTCCGTCTTACCAAAGGTAAATATTATATAAGATATATTGTATATACAAAGGGTGTTATAGTGTGATTCACTTATACATCTTTTTTATTCTTTTTTTTTTATTCTACGAGGTCGTACAGATAACAAGTACGACACATATATGTCGAAGTTGCCTTTAAAGTGAACTAGTCGCCTTTAAAAAAAGAACCAAATTTTAAAATCAATTCCGATATCTCCATATATCTTTTATTTTCTTTCTCTTTTCTTTCCTTTTCCTCACTTGAATATTTCTCTTCTCTTGATGTTGCTCAGGTATATTCCCTTCGTCATGTTTTCTTTCTAGGGTATTTGGTTTTTTTCCTAGCTCATTCATATACATATATGTATATATAGTTACCATTTCTGCAATAAACTAGTAGTTCAGTATTGATCTGTTAGATGAATCACCCGTTAACAAAGGGCAATATGAATTCATTTGTATATACAAATATGTATTTTTTCAATTTTACAAAATAAAATATAAAAAGAAAAAGAGGTAGACTATTTAAAGAAAAAAAAAGCTTTATGCACATAATAATATACTGTTTTTTTTCATTTTTCTTTTTTTTTGTTCATTTGTAAATAACTTTTTTATTTCTCTAATTCATATAAAATAACGTAGTTTTTCTTTGTTTTATTCCTAAAATATGAAATTAATACTGCTACTTTTAATGAAATTAATTATTGTACATTTAATAATATAAAATTACTCAAATAAAATTTCTTATTGCTCAAAAATTATTGCTAAATCGTATTTTAATTATTGTCCATTCCAGTATTTTTATTGCTCAAATAAATACTAGCCGTTTCGAAATTAGATATGAGCTTTCACAAAATGCGAAATCTACTAAAAATCATTATTTTAATCCTGTTGAAGACGAAGTGTCATTAAAATCAGGATTTTATTTGGAAATTACGAATGTATCATGAGCAGCAGTTGATATACATATAATTAGTTTAAAAGAAATTGATTCACCAGAGTAAAGTTGATACTCTATGAGACTATTTGTGATGTAGTAATATTCTTCATTAGTATTTTTCTTTAGTTGTTTATGTGTTAAAACTTTACCTTCTGATTACATAATTCCCTTTGATTGACGTGATTTTTTCTTCTCTTTGGTGTGATATTTTTCTACGTCATATATATATAAGTACATATTTCGTCGGTTTGTTTCTTCAATACTCGTAACTGTTGTATTTCTTTTTCATCTCTTCTTCTTTTTCCTTAGCTCTTCTATAACTATTGTTTTTGTATTCACAAAATTCAATAAATTCGTTTTTTTTTCATATCTTCACTTCTTTCTGTGATGAAACCATAATACGCCACAATATAGTCACAAAAGTAAACAATGTATATTTTTATTCTCATCATACATCATACTTAAAAGCAAACTATGATATTCACGATCAAACACTCACTAATCAGTTCACTGTAGAACAAACAGTGTGAGTATGAGTATCGGTGAACGTATGTCTTCTCTTCAACGATTTCAACATCAGATACCTGCATACACAGCGTAAGATGTGTATTCTAACACTAAATATTTGCTAAATATTATGCACACTAAGATGAGAATTTCAAAAGTAATTGAAAAATTTCTTGCATGGTATGTGGACATTCTATTTTTTTCTTCTTTTGCTTTTCTGTTCAATAGGAAAGCAATGGAGGTTGCTTTTGATCAATCATATCAAGCAACCTGAGTGAAGTCGAAGTGAGTATTGCATGACGCTCAACACCGTTTTCTTTTCGATAAGCCATAGCTACAAGACTTTCTTTTTGACTTCGGTGTTGCGCGCATCAAAGTGTCAAATTTCGTCGGATCAGATAGTTTCGCTCCATACAAAATTGTGGAAACGCATTATGCCAGTCAATGGTTAATCAACAGATGAGATCTCACACTTTTCGACAACTTCTTACGTTAGTGATTTATCGAATTCACCTATGGAAGCTAACACTGACGCGACTGTGGAATTTCAAGGAGATTACTTTTTGATAGTTTCTTGATTTTCGGCTGGATTATATGAGATCCTATCAGCCACTTTTAATCTTCATAGGCTACCATTGGCTGTATCTCGTTAATGAATGACTTATATGCATTGCTATTATTGGTGTGAAGAATTGTTTTCATTGTAGTAATTATCTCATTGTCGTCATACTGGATAACGCATTTGCTCTGCACATTATGAACTGATCAGCTAGTACGACTATTGTTTCTCTGAAGTGATACTCAGAATCTATTTATCTGAAATACTATCGTAGTCATAGTGATGAATTCATATAGCAGGGATTTTCAACCTGTTCTATTATTCACATCACTCTCATTTTTCTAGTTGTACTGTCTTGAATTGTTGGCTTTTTAAATTATATCTATTGATTTGTCCCATGTCAATAACTTCAAATATGCCACTTTAGCATTGGCATCTGTGTGTTCATCTTTGTATCTGGGGTTCTTATGATCTTATTGTCATTTTTAGAAAATGATCAATTCTGAAAAATTTATTCGTGTATGAATCATTGTTATATTGGTAATTTTTATTTTGGTGAGTAGTGAAGCAAACGTGCAATAGAAAAATATTTAATTAAAGTGTCATTATATGTTGTTAGTATGAAAATAGTCGAGCATAGTCGAATCAAAGTAGGGCATATTTTACTACTTCATTACCATCAAGGGTCACATACAAGCTGAGATTTGAGTCGAAGGCAACGTCCATTGGCGCGTTTGGCACAGGTGTAGTACTACATCCCCCAACTACAGGAATACCCACTGTTGAATTGACAGAATACATAACCACTCGATCATTACCATTATCGGCAACATACATATTATTAGAAGAATCGTAAACAATACCTTGTGGTTTGCTTAAAGCATTGGTAGTACTATTGACTTGAGTTAGAGTTGTAGTCGGAGCTGAATCATTAAATTTCCACAAATATATACAATTTTTTTTACTATCACTCAAATAAACTTCATCTGTGGAGCCAGGAGCAAATAGTAATCCAACTACACCATCACTATTGAAATCGCTAATCATAACAATACCATTTGTTGCATTTGGAGGCCATTTCATCAATCGTTGATTTTTTGAATCAATGACATAGACATTGAAATTATCATCAACAACTATATCTGTTGGTGTATCGAGTTGACTAAGTGCACTTCCGCTCGTACCGGTTCCAGCAACTGATGTGCCAATGGGTGAATTGGGAGGAAAGCGTAAAACTTCATTGAGTGCATGTCCGGTAACATAAATGTATCCATTTTTATCTAAAGCGATATACTGAGGGTGTGAAAGAGAAGTTGCACCTGTGCCAGCACCGGTGCCAGCGATTGTGCTACCACTTGTCGCACCTGCAAGCCATTCTTGAGCACGATCATTATGATGGTCAGCAATGTAAAGTGTATTGTTTCCATCAATAACCAAACCAACAGGGTTCTTCAATTCCGTAGAACCTGAACCCCCTGAGCCGGTGCCAGCGGCTACTACACCCGTTTGATTCCAACGAAGAGCAGAACCTAAAACGATAATTAACACTGAATACATGCAATCGTTTTCATGTAAAATAACTGACATGGATCGAAAAGAGTTGTAGTCGTCGAGGCTGAAAAGAAAGGAAGGTCAAAGTCGTATAAAGATTTGTGATCGAGCTCTAAAAAATACTTGTTGAGGTGGTGGTTATCGTCGTTGTAGTACTCGTAGTTGATGTTGTTGCTAGTGATTTCATAGTAATATTTTTTATTATCATGTGTCATACATTTTTACTTACAAGTACTCGTAGTCGAAGTTGAACTGGTTGAAGTTGAAGTAGTCGTCTTTGCTTTTGATTGTATGGCTAATGAATAATGAGATGTCTCGTTAGTTTCTCTCTTTCCAAACTGTCTTACGAAAACATCAAAACAAATACTTCTATTTCAATAAGATCACAGTATAGGGAAACAATTAAGTATCGAAAATAGCCTTTTGACAAATGTGATCATCACAATTCTAATAGATGTATCAGCTTCTACAATGTTGTTGATTAAATGAAATGATACAACATCAGTTTTTTTTTATCGCGAATAAAATGACTTTCTGTTAGTTATCATGAGAAAATTTCTGATTTTTTGGTACTGAACAACGAATTAATTTGTATATGTCTTCTCTCACAGTTTTACTTCAGAAAGAAAAGCGAAAATCTCAAAATACTCGATTGATGTTAATATCATGTTTCAACTATATGCGATAGATTCAATGCGCAGTATTCGAGAATTAAGATAAGACGAAATATCATCTGGAACTATATGAAAAACATAAGTTGAAATCAAGATAACTGGCTTAAATCAAAGAACAAGACAATTAGCGAGTTTCCATCCGGATAAGTTTCATAATCGGAAACCTCACAAAAATCATGCAGCAGTTGTCTTCCTAGATACGAAATTTCAGAAGAATTGATTGATTGGCATATTTTTTTTTGAAACGTTTAAACAAAGTTTTCCACTACTGGACAAAAGTACCCCCCCCCCCCCCCTCGGATCTCAGTCCATACAAGAGCTGAGCGACTGAAAATTGGTGTGCAGACAGCCCATGAAGAATGTAGGTCAGCGGCACCATCTACACCACATTTGCTCGAGTAAGAATGGAGTTCTAATGAACGCCATTGATATGCATTATGAACTTGATAACTCGAGAAAGGTAAGATATTTTGAGTCGGTCACACCTCTCATTTTGAAGCCCTACCTAGTAGCTATTTGCACTAAAAATTTCATTAAAGTTCATCTATCTATTCATGAACTATGATCATTTTAGTGTAAATATTGATAAACCGAAAAACTATATCATACTATTGAGAGATTAATAACTTAGTGATAGTTCAATGAATTCATGTGAAATTTTCAGAAGATATTCCCCCATCATTGGGTATTGTGCCCTAAAAGTTTCAGAAGCAGATCTCTTACTAATGAGAAATGGCATATAAATGGCTATTGAGTTCTTGTCAAGCCTCTAGACTCTCTGTAACTAGAGCAAATGGCCTCATCTTTTGACTACAGAAAGAGCATAGCTTGAGCTTCAATTCGATGCTAAAATATCGATAATTACTCGTGTATTTACTAAACAACAATGCATACTTTAATAAGTCCCTTTTTTTACCCATTTTCTGTTAGTATCAGTGAACATTGTCCTATGCTCATCTATTATTGGTTAGGTATATTAAAGTGACTTGAAAGTTTTGCAAAGCATCCCCACCGTGTCTGGCTACATTAGAGAACAATATTTTCACCTTGAAATTGCTGATAATTATAATAAAATTAATCACAGATATATTGAAACGTACTATTTTCAAATAACTAATGGCTTGCACTCATGCTGACAAAAATGGGTAAAAAAAGGGACTTATTAAAGTATGCATTGTTGTTTAGAAAATACACGAGTAATTATCGATATTTTAGCATCGGATTGGAGCTCAACCTATGCTCTTTCTGTAATCAAAAGATGAGGCCATTTGCTCGAGTTATAGGGAGTCTAGAGGCTTGACAAGAACTCAACAGCCATTTATATGCCATTTCTCATTAGTAAGAGATCTGCTTCTGAAACTTTCAGGGCACAATACCCAATGATGGGGGAATATCTTCTGAAAATTTCACATGAATTCATTGAACTATCACTAAGTTATTAATCTCTCAATGGTATGATATAGTTTTTCGGTTTATCAATATTTACACTAAAATGATCATAGTTCATGAATAGATAATGAACTTTAATGGAATCTTTAGTGCAAATAGCTACTAGATAGAGCTGCAAAATGAGAGGTTGGCTGACTCAAAGTATCTTACCTTTCTCGAGTTATCAAGTTCATAATGCATACCAATGATATTCATTAGAACTCCATTCTTATTCGAGCAAATGTGGTGTAGATGGTGCCGCTGACCTACATTCTTCATGGGCTGCCTGCACACCAATTTTCAGTCGCTTAGCTCTTGTATGGACTGAGATCCGAGGGGGGGGGATACTTTTGTCAAGTAGTGTAGTTCAAATCCTACTTTATTTCTTTTCGTCCTCTCTCTGTCATTATAGACTCTTTTTGAATACTCTCTCCATTAGAGATGTGGCATCGAAAAGACGGATGAGGAGACGTTGCTCACTAAGCACTCTTAGAGAGCTTTGAGTTTTTGCAGTAGGAGTTTAATTTTTATCTAAAAACAGATCGAACAATGAAAACAGATAGTTCAGCACCCCGTGGCACTTTTAAAAGCTGTATTTGCACCGTTTCAGCCGTCAACAAGTTTTCTTGTACCATCTGTTGCCTCCCAATTTTTGTTCTTCGCCAAATTTTTGCTTTCCACACACATGAAATTACCAAGTTATAGACATTTGTCATTGTAAAATATGCTCTTTTAATTAGAGACTTTCATACTACTAAAAAATACACCTTTGAGAGTATAGTGTGTTAGTGGGTGTAGTTGTGTGCAGGTATGAATCTTCGTTTCAACCTCACTCACACCAGCACATACCCACCCACGAATGATAACGCTTATGTTGGCTTTACTGATATTTATCCTCAAGGATGATTTTCATATGATGAACTTCTCACAGTCATTATCTCCATTTATTCCTTGCAAATTTTTAAAATTATTTCCTCTGAAGATTTGATGTTTATTCGCTTCCATGTGTACGTATAACGCTACTATTGTTCGATACTAGGGGTGGCACTTTAACTTTACTTTAAAAGTTAATGTTAAAGTAATACTTTAAACTTTGACACTTTCTTAAAGTGTTTTTAAAGTTAAAGTGCCACCACTAGTCAAAAACCGTTAGTTCTACTTCTGTTTTCCCTATTGTCAGGTGCCGATTATGAATAGGATCGCCAACTGCAGCTGCGCAGGAGAATAAGGAACAAAGAAACTTTTTTCGTATGGCAATATTCATCGATAATATCTTCAAAACTCTCACAAAAATACAAAAAATCAATTAGAGTAAAAAGCTTCGCCTTAATTTTATCAATATAGTATGAAATTTTCGAAACAATCCAGTTCGAATCCTTAAAAAAAGTTCTTCAGGCCAACAAATAATCTTATTCAACATAGATGAACTGACGTTCAACATCCATAGGCTATAGACAAAATTTCCCAAAGTGACAAACACTATACCAACTTTAATGAATTTCCTTTCATGTCAAATCCGTTGGAAAATTGCAAAACCACCTTTTCCAAGCTGAACAATATTTCAGTATTAACCATTCCATTAGGAAAAAGTTTTTCACATGCATCTACATGGGGGTAAACCCAAATTTTCGTTAGATGCCATCTACTGGAAATAGTATTGTTGGTTATAGAACAGTATTCTGCACCTAACACAACAACTTAAAGATTCAACACAAGTCATGAAGCAAATTCGGGAAGAAATACTATTGTTGAATTATAAGTGCATGAGGAAAAACTGAATAGTTCCGGGATAAAGCCCATTTTTCGACGGATGATCCCTCCTCCCATGAAAATAGCACCATTGGGTGGAGATTAAAATTCTGCACTTAACACAAGTGATTAGAAACCCAACATAGGTTAAAGAACGAATTCGGGCAGGAAATACTTGAATTTGGTGCTAGCTTTACTTACGTCTGAGATTTCTCTCTTGTTATTCATTTTTTAAGACAAAAAGGCATCAACCTGATACTACATCTGCCGTTTTCACCAAACCTTGCAGCATGCAATTTTTGACTAAATTATTATATCAAGTGCAATTTAAGTAACGAAATATGTATAAACTCATTGACTCATGTGGTTTCAAGAATAGTTAAAAATATTTGACAAATTGTTAGAAAGAATGGAACTTTATATAAATAATTATGGCGATTATATCTAATATTTAATGCAAAAATATTGTCCATCAGGTATGAAGTGATGAATTCGATAGGTATCACGAATAATAGCATGACGTTGTCGAACTTTAGCCATAAATTTTCTAAATTCATTTGAAACAAAAAAAGAAACCATATATTATTAAGAACGGTCGAGATGAAAAAATCTATCTTACAACAATCGCCACGGATACGAAGATTTTTTGTAATTTGAGTAGAGTCTGTAACAAGTCGTTGAATAAAATTGAAAGCTGTTGTCAATCTTTTTCTATGACCACATAAAACCGATTCAATAGTTTCTCAATCCTGTAATTCACGAGAGATCCAAGGAGAATCATTTGAAATGTTCAAAGATCAGTTTCAGCATGGATTTCTGCTGATTGAGAATGAGAATGATCATAAGCGTTGAAGCTTTAAGAAATAACAGAAATTTCTTCATTTTTTAATGTTTAGTAGAAATATTTTACCACTATTTCTCCATTTCCATCAGTCCACCATAATCCTATTTTGATATCCGTTTCTAATTCTTTTATTTGATTATATTGAAAGTTTTTTGCTAGTTGATGTTCACGAACCGATGAATATGTGTTCGATAGAAGAATTGTACTTGATAAAAGATCTTTTTTTTTTTTATCACGAATCACATATTTCATTCGATTATATATCTTTTCGAATAAATTTTATTTTGATTATTACATGCATCAGATAATAAACACACTAAAAATACAAAAATAAATAAACAATATATTAATATAATATTTTGATAAAATACTTACTATACATGACAAAATGTGGTGAATTTGTCTTTTCACATTTATCTATCAACTTTTTGTATTTCATCAAATGAAAACAAACAACTTAAACAATCAGTCTTAAATATAATATAAAATAATCATAGGTAAAATTAAAGAAATTAAGTAAAAAGACAAATCATAACAGTTACGATGTTTTCTGTTTTGAAAGGTATTTCATTGAAAATATTTCGAGCTTGATGAAGAAGACCCGAATGAGGACATGTATTTAATATACAAATATGTGAAGTTTCATCATGTAGAGTATTCGGCATTTATCTATACAATTCAATTGCTTCATAAACCATTCCATTAAGTCCAAATCCATTAACTTTTAAAAACAAATATTCAATATTTAGAACAAACATAAACTGATTTATATATATTTTGTGCTTTTACAGTAGAACCATATTTGCCCTATATAACAGAGAAAAGAAAATTATAAATAAAATGAATCAGTCGATACAGTCCAACAAACAATGCTTATCTACAGGGTTGGCAATAATATTATTCAAAGGGAATACCGCTATAATCTCAAATAGAAGATATGATGAATTTTATACCAAATGAAAGCCCGTGAAAAATGGGGTTTACTGATGCTAAATAGTAAGAGTTTGGAGAACTTTCATGTATTAAACTCTCAAAAACCATGCAATTGTGGCCAAAAAATCGTTATAATTCACTTTTAACGAGTTGTAAGGCAAAAAGAATTAAGAATTTTCTAGAAAAAAAGTGAAAAGAGGTTATTCTAATGATATAAGATGTAACTATGACTCAGAAAATAAGACTATGCTTTTGCGTTCTGTTGTTTGCTCCTCGTGGTAGCAGTTATTTAAAAGATTTTTTTCGTTTTCGCTCTGTTAGAAAGTAATAGCGGAGAGAAATTTTAGTGATTTGTGGAGTCATATAAAAGGTAATTTTCTCATCGATATATTTCATAATAAAATCCATCTTCATGTTAAATCAACGAAGTTTCATTATTTGAAACGGCTGGTGCTTATGCTACCGAACAACAAAGAATGATTGACAGAATCAAATCCATTGTTTTTCGTGAAGCTCGCGATGCTGGTGCAACATTTATAAATAGACAATGGATCGTGGACAAAATTCACCGTACGACTCGATTTGTTTCAGAGTGGTGGAAAAAATCATATGACCAATGCTTTGCTGATTATTCAAATGCTGATCCTAAACTTAAATTATCACAAGCTGGTCAAGACATCATTCGTGAAGCAAGTGGTCGGCAAAGAAAAAGCTGTTCTGTTGTGGCGAAGGAGATTGCAAAAAAGTAAAAAGAATACGTCACTCGAAGAACAATTAATGATTACCGTCATAGAGAAGGATTAAAACCTTTTCATGTTATTTCAAAACCGTTAAAATCTGAAACTCATATATCAGATCGATTATGGCTGTGCAATTGGTTAAAAGAATGGACTGAAGAAGATGGAAGATATCGTGAAATGGTAAAACATCAAGCATGTATTGGAGTTTTTATAATGTTTACTTGCAAAAGATTACTTTGGGTTATCAAAGATAAAGGTGAATCTTGGACCGGTCAATACTTTCGTGATATAATTTTGACTTAAAACGAATTCCCTTTCTTGAAAAATGAAGAAAATGTTATCGATACTGATGAAGTTATATTTGTTCATGATAAAGCACCATGTATGCGAGCAAATAAGACGCAACATTTGATCCGAGACAGCAACGTAAAGTTTTGAGGTAATGATATTTGGTCTGGTAATTCGCCTGATCTCAATGTGGCAGAACATATTAGATCAATAATCAAAGATGAATTTTAAAAAAATGTTATCGGAAACTGAATTTTATCGATATCTTGAAGACACTCAAAATGCACATTGTAAATGTTTTAACTAACATGGAAGGAGATACTGAGTAATTTGAAACTCTTCTATATGTTCGTATCCATTTCGATTTCGTGCAGTAAAGAACGCTAATGGCCGCCACACTGATTATTGATGGTACTCATTAAATAATGAAAAAATAAACTATTTTGTAACACATTTAGTTCGAACATTATTCGGTAAAAAGTCGTAACTTTTGAGAGTTTAATGCATGAAAGTTCTCCAAACTCCTACTATTTAGCATTAATAAACCCCATTTTTCAGGGGCTTTCATTTGATATAAAATTCATCATATCTTCTATTTGAAATTATAGCGGCACCCCCTTGAATAATATTATTTCCAACCCTGTAGATAGGATAAGATCTTTTTGTAAGCTTTTGTTGAGATGATCTTCGTTCTTGAACATGATTGGAAATTGTATGAGAATTCATCTCTAATTCAATCACAGAGTGGCATATCATTATATTTAAACGGTTGATCTCTTTTTTGTATGCTATTTTTAAAACACGAGGCCCATCGATTTTCACTAATAGAATACAGAACTTTTACAAGACGTCAAAACTAGACTGATATTAAGGTTATACGAAATGTGAAGAAAAAATTAGGTAGTGTTTATCTGAATACTCAGTCCACTACAAAAAAGGAACTCAATGTGAACAATTCTTTAGTATCTATGCCTATATTTTAAGGAAGTTCGAATGTGTCAAGCGAGACACGTCAAGATCAACTCAGATTTTAAATTTGTTAATTTGAAAGTGGGAACAATATTTTGATTGGAATATGGCTGATCTTACTAGTGTACATTTCCTGAATAACTTTCGCTGAGTACAAGATATAGACCTGAAATTTTCACCTTTCGAAAGAGCAATGTCCGAGCCATCGATAGGCATATAACTCATTAGGACAAAAAATGTTTTTTTTTATTGGTGCGTTTGGATCAACACTTTTACCCTTGATAATCTCAACTCAAATTATGCCAAAGTGTCTCGCAAATCACCCTTTTTTTGCTATAAAATGATCATATATTTTAGTATATCTCAATCTTTTATTCTAAGTGAATTTAAAAAAACAAATGCTAATTTTATAGCGAAGAAAAGGTGATTTGAGAGACATTCTGACATCATTTGAGTTGAGATCATTATGAAAATTGATGAAAATACTCAAAGGAAAAAGTGTTGATCCAAAAGCAACAATAAAAAAAGCATCTTTTGTCCTACTGAGTTTTATGCCTATCGATGGCTCGGACATCCCTCTTTCGAATGGTGAGAACCACAGGTCTATATCTTGCACTCAGCAAAAGTTATTTAGAACATGCCAACCTATGTTTTATTTTTCTAAGGATATAGGTGCAAACTAATGGATAGGTAGATATAAGCAATAGTATACAGCCCGTAAGATACATCCATTACAGTATAGGAATAGCATAGGCTGATTTGTAATAATTCTACGAATTTTTATCAATTAAGAATCAATTAAGAATCAATTATAATGGGGTACTCGTCACTTTAATCCAGTTTTTTTCGTTTCTAAGAAGAGAAAGTCGCATTCATATGGGTTTGTCAGAAAAATCTTATTCAATTTAGATCCAAATCAATCCAAATCTCAAGATCATAATAAGCCATTGAGTTACTAGCATTCGATGATGGTCAAACTGTGACTGCAGAAATTGAAAAAAATTTTATTTGATAACATTCAGAAAACGAAATTTGATTCAATATTTATGAATAAGCGATTTAAGTAGGAGAGGAAAAATATCTTCACACTGAAAGTTTCTCTTATCATCAATTTTTCACTGACAAATGATGGCATACACCAGTAACGAACATTGACGAGAGAAACAAAAATAAGTACTACCATGCTCTGCGTTGATCGTAACAGCTAGAGGGAAAGATAGACAATAAACATCAATGATGCACATGTCAAAAAAAAAAAAATTTAAGTTCCATAATATACGGTTGTAGTTGAGGATTAATGATCACCATCTGAAGAAGAAACAAAGAAAAACGGTTAACTTTATATTCAAATAAATATTTTCAATTACGAACCCATTTAGAAACATAACTCGGTTGCCTTAGCTGCACTCTTTGAATGCTAAAATACAGAAAATTTCGAATATGATGGAATCATTTCCTAGCGAAGAATCATACACTTAAATAATATTCGAGTACACCGACATGATCATCTTTGATCTTCTTTAATTCATCATAAAATCGACGAAATTCCCAGGCAGCTTCTGCACGTTGTGTTATTTCATGCTTAGATTTCGCATTGATCAATGTATAATCACCGTTCCCATTTGGAAAATAACCGAAAAGTTCTAAAAGTTCCAATGTCCCAGGCTGAAGCGAAAAAAAATTTAGAAGATTGCTTCAATCGAATTAAATACACAAACCTTCATGGCAAGTTTTTGAATGATATACGAGTGAAGAAATGTTGGCTTTGGTATTTCCGGTTTGGAAATGTGCAGAAGAGGAACCAATGGCCGAAGCAAACATTCAATGTCTTCTTTCACCTTAAACAAATGAAACAATCGTCTCAATTCGACTCAGACAGACAACACCAGATAAAATACTCACATGACCAATACGAACATTGGCTTGTACAATACTTTGAGCCGGTAAAATTGGATACGATGAGAATGGAACTGCTATTCGAATCTATTCAATGCAATAGAATAATTACGTCAAATCATACTTTCGTTTCAGAAGTCAAATAAAGCTGTGAACATCAATTGATTATGTGAATGGAATCACCCCGAATTACAAGTAGACATTTATGATCTATCTTGGACCCGATTGCACCCCAAAACAAATTCATGTTTATTTTCTGTATGTTCACAACAAAGTGACATTAGAAATTCTCAATAACGCGCTGTGAATCTGATACAGCCAATCAAAATTCAAGCTGCACGATTCATTATAAAATATTAAGAGCGACAATGGAATATTAGTATATCTACCTAGGGGAAAACGGCAGACTTGAAGTAGAAAAGTACAACAAAGTACAAAATTAGTTTAAAGTACTTCAAAGTAGGTCAAAGTACCTGTAAAGTAGCTCAAAATGCGCGTGAAGTAGCTCGAAGTACTTCAAAGTAGCATAAAGTAACTTGAAGTGCAAAAGTCTGCCGTTTCCCCCTAGATATCTGTTCTATATTGACAGCTCTTTCAATAACTTCTAGACTGTTTCAATTCTTCAGATATCTTTTATTGATTCTACATGAATTCAACTTTGTTTAGTTCTATCTTATTACTCAAGTTGAAGTCAAAACTGTGACAGGTACATGTCTTTGTACTAAAACAAAAGCTGTTTTGCTTATACGTTCAAGTATTTCAAAGTATTGACCACGTATCTAAATGTATTCGTTTAAATACTTGCACCCCTGTTCTTTTTCTTTGCTCATAAGTTTTTTCATAATGAATTATTCTTGTAAATTGATGCGTCACACACGCGATGATGAAACAAACAATGAAAATCATAGTGTTCCAATATTGAAAAAAGCGCTCCGCTTTCAATCACATATCATCCAGATAGATCCTTAGATCGCATTTAATCTGAGATAAGTTTTTGCTACATCTACCTACCAAATTCAACTGATGGCATATAGTTTCATTGACCATATCTTGTTTCTAACTACTGTAGTTCCTGCTTTTCTCGATCCATGTGTTTAGTTACAAAAGATCCTTGATAACGTTCTCAGCCAAATCAGATATAAGAATTTCATCTTTTCTTCAAATTTTTGAAACAGCACTGAAGTATACTGCGCTTCAATGATATCTAGTCATTTTTAAAGCGTATTCTCTGAACTGAACTTCGATACAAGAAATATTGTTGTACAAACATGAAGCACGTCTCAGAAAGCTTTCAAGTTCAATAAAGATGCTATTGCTTATTCTGATGCACTATAGATTATAACCGAGTCGAGTCGAGCCAAATATGCAGGACACGACTCTTCAGATATCTCAAATAATATTTTTCTCGGGTGATATTAGCAAGAGATTGAAATCATGTTTTAATTGATGTGCACAGTTGAAAGTGTCAGAATAGCACTTTGTACGTTTTTCGACGCCTCATTTCAAGCTTTAGTGTGCTTCCGTTCTGAAAGTTTTTGTTCGAATTAAATTGCAAACTTTCTCAATGGTCATTCTATATTTTCTTCATCCATCCTCTTCCCATATATTTTACTCACTCCGGATGCATAATTGTTATGCACTCCAACGCTTTCAACATATAATAGCTTCAGACTCAGCGTACTCCGCGAGACAGTCTGTAATTGATGCACATAATATGGAGTAAGTGAGCGATCGATCATTTAACGATCCACAAATATTTACCGACTAGATTTTTGAGAAATCTAATGAACTTGTGTGGCTCGTAAGAGAGCAGGCCTTCGCAATCTAGGATGTGGGTAATATTGAAGAAAGAAAGCACAATTGTGGATACCCACGTGGAAACGAAATTATGATCAATAGTGACTGATGCATATTTCTCCAGTCAATACTGGAGAATTCGACTTGAATCGACTCGATTCGAGCCGATTCAGGTCTTTATTTTTCTCAATCGTTTCGGTCTGTGTGACGCACAGAGTAGTCAATTTTAAGAAGAATGATAAGATAGTAATAGATGTCCTGAAACGAAGTGACATAGAGCCGAAATTAAGTGAATTTTCTCATTTCACGCGAATGCGTATTCTCATGTTTTGTCAATTGTAAGCTTTTCATAC